TTCCCTAAACCCTAGAAGTCGCACTTTTTGGAGACTTCCCCTCCCCGCCCAAGTCCTTAAGTTCAGCCCTTCAACCCTTAAGCCCTTCAACTCTTAAACCCTGAAACCCTTCAGCCCTTAAACCCTTAAGCCCTTAAACCTATAAGCCCTTAATGAAACCTCAAGCCCTTAAACCCTTAAACCCTCAAACCCTTAATGAAACCTCAACTCAAACCCTCAACCCTCAACCCTCAACCCTCAACCCTCAACCCTCAACCCTCAACCCTCAACCCTCAACCCTCAACCCTCAACCCTCAACCCTCAAACCTCAAACCTCAAACCCTCAAACCCTCAACCCTCAAACCCCTAAACCCTCAAACCCCTAAACCGTCCCAGGCAGATGTTTCTTTGCCTCCTGGAGGGCGAAGACAAAATGCCCTCCTGCAACTTTGGGCAGCTCCTCTTCCCACGGCAGCCCTTCCTTCAAGAGCCCCGCAGGGGTTCGGGTTCAGGGTTCAGGCTGGTATAAGGGGGAACATCCCAACCTATACCCTAAACCCTAAACCCAGAACCCAGAACCCTGAACCCAGAACCCTAAACCCTAAACCCTAAACCCAAAACCTAAACCCTAAACCCTAAACCCTAAACCCTGAACCCTGAACCCTAAACCCTAAACCCCCGAAACCCCGAACCCCAAGCCCTAAACCCTAGACCCTAAACCCTAGACCCTAAACCCTAAACCCTAAACCCCCAAAGACAACGTTGTTGTAGGAGTCCGGCCCGCCAGGAGGTGGCGAAGCTCCGGATGTTCGTCCACTACTTCGAGCGTTGTAGGAGCGCCGGGTTACCCTAAACCCTAAACCCTAAACCCTAAGCCCTAAGCCCTAAGCCCTAAGCCCTAAGCCCTAAGCCCTAAGCCCTAAGCCCTAAGCCCTTAGCCCTAAACCCTAAACCCTACACCCTAAGCCCTAAGCCCTAAACCTCTCTTTCATATATAATTCAAATGTTAATGAGTTACTGGGCAAGGTTGTTTTTTTACCGGGAAAGGGTCATTTTTTACTGGGCAAGGTCTTTTTTTACTGGGCAAGTTCATTTTTTTACTGGGCAAGGTCGTTCGGTCTAAAAAAACGACCTTGCCCAGTAAAGAAATGACCTTGCCCAGTAAAAAATCACCTTGCCCAGTAACAGGGTTACTGGGCAAGGTCATATTTTTACTGGGCAGGTCATTTTTTTTACTGGGCAAGGTCATTTTTTTTACTGGGCAAGGTCATTTTTTTACTGGGCAAGGTCCTTTTTTTTTTACTGGGCAAGGTCGTTCGGTCTCAAAAACGAGGGTTACTGGGCAAGGTCCTTTTTTTACTGGGCAAGGTCATGTTTTTACTGGGCAAGGTCATTTTTGCAAGGTCATGTTTTTACTGGGCAAGGGCATTTTTTTTTTACTGGGCAAGGTCATGCTTTTACTGGGCAAGGTCATATTTTTTTGCTGGGCAAGGTCATATCTTTACTGGGCAAGGTCATTTTTTTTACTGGGCAAGGTCATATTCTTACTGGGCAGGGTTATTTTTTTACTGGGCAAGGTCATATTTTACTGGGCAAGGTCATTTTTTTACTGGGCAAGGTCATTTTTTTGCTGGGCAAGGTCGTTCTACAAGTGTTGTGGGATTCTTTGGGCGGGTGGGTATTTTCCTGGAGTAATTGCTTGATTAGTGAATGCTTGGACTTGCAGTGAATGCTTGGACTTGAGATGCTGAATCCTAAGCCCTAAACCCTAAACCCTAAACCCTAAACCTTAAACCCTAAACCGAACGGAGGCTTTCGGAGTATCCTTCCGCAATGAGGGGCTTAGGGTTTGGAGCTTGTAGGGGCTGCTAGGTTGCCTGAAACCTTCGAACCCGAAAACCAAGACTAAGGGGGTTTGTAGGTTTGAGGGTTTAGGGGTTTGGGTCTAGGGTTTAGCGTGTAGGGGCTTAGACTTTGGGGTGTAGGGTGCAGGGCTTAGGGCTTAGGGTTTACGGCTACTCCTTGGAAGGATGCCTAAACCCTGAACCCTAACCCTAAACCCTTAAACCCTAAACCCAAAACGACATGCCTTCGCCGAAAAAGCCGTTTTACTTACAATGCAGGGGTCGAGGTCAGGCTGAGGGTTTTAGGGGCTAAGGGCTTGGGTTCCTCAGCACGAAGCCACATGTCCAAGATGCACCCTAAACCCTAAAACCCTTAAACCCTTAAACCCTTAAACCCTAAAACCCTAAAACCCTAAAACCCTAAAACCCTAAAACCCTAAAACCCTAAAACCCTAAACCCAAAGCCCAAAGCCTAAACCTTAGAAGGGGGTTTGAGCTTGGACTCTCCAGCAGGCTGGAATTTCCAAAGGGCGAGCTGCGTATCTGGCGCCAGGCGACCAGAAGCCCTCAAAGCCTTCAAAAGGCATGTCGCCCTAAAGCCGAAACCCTAGAAGGGTTCGACAGGCCCCGAAGCCCGAACCACGGCTCCGGATAGTGGGGGCTTCTGGCCTTGTGGTTTTAGGTCTTGGGCAAAGCTGAAAACTGGAAGCCCTGAACCCTAAACCCTAAACCTTAAACCCTAAATCCTACCCTCTACCTGCAGACAGTCGACCCCACAGCCCTAAAACCTTAAACGCATGAGAAGCCCCAACTCCGATTTCTATTGCCCCTGCATCTGTGATTGGGTCCTCTTGTCTTGCGAGTCTGAAACCCTGAACCCTGAACCCCTAAACCTTAAACACTGTATAAACTCTAAACCCTAAACCCTAAACCCTAAACCCTAAACCCTAACCCTAAACCCTAAACCCTAAACCCTAAACCCTAAACCCTAAACCCTAAACCCTAAACCCTAAACCCTAAACCCTAAACCCTAAACCCTAAACCCTAAACCCTAAACCCTAAACCCTAAACCCTGCCGAGAGCGCCGCTGTCCATTTACATGGGCGCTCGAGGCTTCGACCGAGGTCCCCGACCGAGCGTCTCCACAGAACGGTGAGGGAGGGTAAAGCCTCCCGGTAGACGGGGCCTGCAGTGCCTGGCTACGCCTCAAACCTAGACCGTCAGCCCTAACAAAAAACAAGGACCCCAAACCCGAAGCCATTGGCGTCTTTTGGTTTTTTTGAGGGTTGGGGGTACCCCCCTCAACGGGGCCTGGGGTCCCAGGCTGGCAGATCCTGGGCCCCTGGCCACTGACCCCCTGACCCTAAGCCCTGCCCTAACCACTGCCTGCAGCCCCGACCTGGCCCGGCACCTCAAGCCCCAGGCTGACCCTTTTCTTCTGACCCTGTTTTGCACGATTTTACTACACGCCTTCAAAACCTCCTGCATGAAGCCCTGGTAGTGAAAATGTTGGTTTTTTTGTATTGCAATCGACGGTTTTAGGCACCCCTCCGTTTTCCTCCGTGCAAGCTCCAAAAAGCCTACGAGCCATTGACAGGCTCCACAAAGCTCAGGAGGCCCCACCCTGCTCTTTTGTATAAAGCAAGAAAGCCGCCCTTGAGGGGGGTTTGGGGGGTGAACCCTAAACCCTAAATGAGAATAGTTTGTGTGGTTGGGGTGGGACTACATGCTAACGCAAGCGAGCGGCCCGGGTGCTTTTAGCACCAGCGAGCTTCCCTTCTATACACCTAAAACCCTAAACCCTAAACCCTAAACCCTAAACCCTAAACCTTAAACTCTGAGCCCGAAGCCCTACGCCTTCTGTCCTATGAAGAGGCCCGGGATGGCACGCCCTCCACATCTGCGTGGAAGGCAGATGGGCAAAGTTCGGACTTAGGTTGCCGTGGGTTTAGGGTTTAGGGTTTAGGGTTAGGGTTTAGGGTTTAGGGTTTTAGGGTTTAGGGTTTAGGGTTTAGGGTTTACGGTTTAGGGTTTAGGGTTTAGGGGTGGGTAGTTCTCTGAGGGTCACTTGTTGGGTTTGGGGGCCGTGGATAGCCGTTCTGGAGTCTTAGGGTTGTAGGGGCTGAACTAAGGGGTTTGCTGTTCCAGGTCTTCGGGTAACCGGGTTGAGGGGTTTACGGTTCGGGTTTACTCAAATGAGGGTTTAAGAAGTGATGTAGGGTTTAGGGTTTAGGGTTTAGGGTTTAGGGTTTAGGGTTTAGGGTGCATGTAGCCTTGAGCCCCAAACCGCAAGCGCACGACAGTACACAAGCTGTCGACCCTGTACACTTCAACCCTGAAACCCTTCAGCCCTCAAGCCCGAAACCTTAAACCCTAAACCCTAAGCCTTAAACCCTAAACCCTAAACCCTAAACCCTAAACCCTAAACCCTAAACCCTAAACCCTAAACCCTAAACCCTAAACCCTAAACCCTAAACCCTAAACCCTAAACCCTTCAACCTAAAGACCCTAGATCCCTTCAACTCCAAAACCCATGCCCCTATATATACCCTGAAAACCCATCCTCCAACTTACGGTTCCAAGGATGGGCCCTTAATTTGAGTCCCTAAACCCTAAACCCTAAACCCTAAACCCTAAACCCTAAACCCTAAACCCTAAACCCTAAACCCTAAACCCTAAACCCGAAACCCTGAACCCTGAACCCTGAACCCTAAACCTCCCAACTTGGTAAGTTCCCGAGGCCTCCCGGAAGCCACTCCTGCCGATGCAAGTCGCGGATCCCGGCGTCGGCTTGGAGGCTGCAGGGGTTTGGGGTTTAGGGTTGTTGATTTGATGACCAGCTCTGATGTGACTCGTATATCTTTGCAAGTGCTGCAGAGTGAACACTCTCGCAGCCGACTGGGCGCAAGCCCCCGCGCAGCTTCTTCTGCGTCGACAAAAGGTGCCATAGCAGCTGAGCCTTGAAGTCTGCTCCTCTTCAGCTGGCTTCTGTCAATCGGCTGCTCTCCTTTCATCATTCTCATTATCTTTCGAGTACATCCTCGAATCTCATTATCTTTCGAGTACATCCTCGGATCCTTAGCCCTCACAGGCTACCAGTGACTGAACCGCAAGCCAGTGCTAATTCAGCACTGGTAGCGGAGCCTGTCACGATCGAAGGGACCCCAGGAGAGCCCGATGGCAACACCGTCGGAACTTGGAGTGAACCCCAAGCTGCCGACGTGGGATGGCGATTGGCGTACGTATGCTGACTTCCGTTTGGCATGCCTCTTGGAGAAAGATGGCTTGAAGGAAGAAGATCAGCTGACCCTCGCTCCTCGCTTGGCGAGGAATCTGACGGGCAAGGCTTGGGAGGCCTGCACCGACATTGACCGAGCTGAACTCCGCAAGAAGGAAGGACTCGACTACCTCCTCAAGTACTTGAAGGAGAAGCGGGGCAAGCAGCAGGTTGATATCTTAGGTGAGGCCTTTGAGAAGTACTTTCAGTCAGGTGACGCCATTCGTCAGGACCGTGAATGCCTAACGGACTTCGAGCAGCGCGTCTCCGTGCACTTCCGGGACATTGCCAGAGCCTTGCAAGAGATGGGGACCTCCGTGGAGGTACCGTCAGAGATCTACGGCTGGTTCCTGCTCAACAAGCATATCCGGCTGGAGCCTTCCGACGTGGCGACTCTCAAGTCGCAGACGGCCAGCTACAAGCTTGCTGATGTCTGGAAGGCATTGCGGAAGATGTGGGGTGGAGACAGCCTGGTAGTGAAAGACCAGGAAAGAAGTCCGCCAAGGCATACATGGCAGTTGAGGAGTACGAGGATGAAGACGGTGATGGAGCCGGAGTATGGTGGACCGACCCCGAGGACGATGGAGCCCTGGAGCCAGAGGACGAGGAAGCGACCGAGATCTGGTTTGAGGAGGCGTTAGAAGCACTCCAGGAGAACCCGTCCGATGAGGTTGTCCTGGCAAACTTCAACGAAGCAAAGAAAGCCTTCTACAAGGACGCCAGAAAGGCCTTGGATCAGAGTCGGGTCAACCGCGGCTTCTACCCGAACACCAAAGGAAAAGGAAAAGGCAAGAGCAAGGGCAACAGCAGCCGGGCCAAAGGAGATGATGCCAAGGTGGAGTTCCGTGGAAAGTGCATGCGGTGTGGCCGTTTCGGTCATAAAGCGCAGAACTGTCCGCAAGGTGGCAAAGGCCGAGGACCCGGAAAGGGAATCGGTGTCGGGTTGGTGTACACCAACTGGACGGACGATGAGGCGCAGCCGCTTCTCACGGGCGCGGTGACCGAGCACAATACGCGAGCCATTGTGGACTGCGGCGCCTCAGAGAGCATTGTGGGAGCATTGACCTTGCAGAGACTCCATTCCGAGCTCGAGGGCCTGGGCTTCGACCCCGACCAGGAGATCGAGCTTGACAACCGTCTCAGAAAGACCTTCGTCTTCGGCAACAACGAGTCCAGTCAGGCCTTAGGACATGCCACAGTGACGGCCGGAATCCATGGTCGAGAGCAGAAGCTGGGCATGCATGTGGTTGAAGGACAGACGCCGTTGCTCCTTTCCGGCAAATGGCTGTACGAGCAGAAGGCCATCATCGACTTTGGGCGCGGTCAAGCCATCTTCCCGTTCTTGGGCCCGGAGGTGATCCAGCTCGAGCGGGCTGCCACGTACCACCTCTTGATGCCCGTCACAGCCTTCGAAGGACATGACAAAGCCCGTGCACTCACCGCAGTGGCGCAGGATGCAGCCGGTCCTCTCCTGAGGGCCTGTGCCCAGATGTTCGACGCAAAAGAAGAAGCTGTCGCTCAGGAGTAGGGACAGCTCCACCTGAGAAACTCGCTGGAAGAATCTCAGAGTGGCCGTAGGCCCATTGACGCAGGGCAAAGTCCAGCAAGTGTTTTAAATGAGCCGGAGTCTACTGTTTCGAACGATCCTGAGCTGAGTTTTGATATCCCTGAAGATGTGAAGAGAGTACTTCAAGACCAGGCCCGTAGCGAGCTTCAATGTTTTGAGGGAATCGTTCAGGGATTGAGGGTTGAGGTTAATCATGTTGACATGCCACGATATGATTTGCTAGAAGTTTGCTGTTCAGAGGATTCACCTTTAGCCACGGCAGTGGAAGAGGCTGGAGGACATGCGTACCGAATGGGGTTGCACAGTGGTTATGACCTGGCTACTAAGGCGGGTCTGAAAAAGGCACTGGCTACGCTCCGGAAGTTGCGGCCTAGGTATGTACATGTCTCGCCTCCCTGTTTCCCATGGACCACCCCTAGCTGTGCTAACCACAAGAACCCTCAACAGGAAGCCGAACAACTCAAGCAAAGAGCTCACGGTCGTTTGATCCTTCGCAACTGCCTGAAGCTAATCCAGGTGCAGCGTCAGGAGTTGCAGGGTGAATCTGGTATGGGGCCAGATTGCCAGGATACACATGTCGGCGGAGAGCAGCCTCTTAGTGCAGCGTCTTGGAAGGAGCCTTCAGTGAAGCTTATGGTGAGACTTTGTGGGGGAGAGCGTTTCAGAATTGAGGATTGTCGTTATGGGGCTGAGACTAGATGTAGCGGTTTTGCTATTCAGAAGGGTTGGCTCAGTAGTAGTCCGGAAATTCGCGAAGCGCTAGACAAAGTCGGTAGGCATGAGCATGAGCGTGCTTCCGTGGCCGGCAGGGCAGTAGCTGAGACTGCTGTGTATCCTCAGAGTTTTTGTCGGTCTTTTGCGAAGGTCTTGATGAAGTCCCGAGTTGACCGATGCATGACTGTCCAAAATCACCCTGAAGAGCCGAGTCAGCAAACTAGCGAACTCAAAAAAACCAAAGAGCCCCAATGGAACCCCAGTATCCTGAAAGAAAAGCTGAGAGTGATACATGCTAATCTAGGTCATCCCTCAAATCAAGTTCTTGTTCGCATGCTCAAAGACGCTCGGGCCTCAGAGGACCTGATTAAGCTGGCAGCCAACTATGAATGCCACCATTGTGCCAAGAGAGGGCACGCCAATCCCCATCGCACAGCGCAGGTGCCACATGCGACTCGCAAGTGGGAAGTAGTTAGTGTCGACACCTTTTGGTGGCACAGTCCTCACAAAGACGCCCAGGGTAATCCCAAAGAACATGTGTTAGGGGTTTCGTGGTTGGATGAGGCCAGTGATTTCCACACTGCTTTAGTGCTTCGGTCAGGGAACAAGAAACAAGGGTCTATCAGGTCTTCGGAGTTTCGGGAAGCTTTTTGTCAGGGTTGGTTACGGCATCTCCCAAAACCTGAAACCCTGCGCTTCGATGACGAGGGTGCCTTTCGAGACTCAGGACTTCTGGATTGGATTGAGGCACAAGCCATTAAGGTTAATGTCATTGCGGGAGAGGCCGCTTGGCAGGTTGGTAAGCACTCTAGACACCTTGAAGTCCTGAAAGAGAACATGTCTTTGCTGTCCTTGGAACTGGGGCCAAACGTTGCAGCGCAGGAGCTTCTTGGGCTTTGTTTGGCATCTAAGAACGAGATGCACCAGGTCAGGGGCTATAGTCCTAATCAGTGGTGTTTTGGTCAGGGATGCGACAGGGTGCAGTCATACTTGCAGTATGGGAACCATCTGCCAACGCAAAGCCTCCGAGGACAGGAGACCTTTGAAGAGTCCTTACAAAGATCCGAAGCGGCGCGAAGGACTTTCCTGCAAGCAGATAGCCGGCGCAGGATCCATCGCGCCGCGCGAGGACGTGCGCGCAAAAGCGAAAACTTTCAGGTAGGCCAGCTTGTGTTTTTCTATAGGAAAGGGCGCAACAACACAAGTAGGCATGAGGCCGGTTGGCATGGGCCTGCAAGGGTTGTTGCCATTGAGAAGCAGGGATCTCCTGAGCGGAATCAAAGCGTTGGTTCGGTTATATGGGTCATTCACGCGACGATTTTGTATCGTTGTGCGCCGGAGCAGCTGCGGGCGGTGCCCAGTAGTCTGAGTATGGCGCATGAAATCAGTCAGGGCGTCACTTCCCCCTTTGATGATGTCATTCGAGCTGGGAATCAGGCCAATTACAGGGATATATCCCAGGATTTGGCCGAAGAACCTGAAGACTCAGAGATACATGAGCACGAGCCGGTCGTTCCTGGCCCAAGTGAACCGACGCCAAGTCCTGCTCCCCCTTTCCGTATCTTCGGGAAACAGCCACCTCGCCATGGGCAGCCAGAACAACCCCCTCCTACAGGCGCTCAATGCCAAGGTCACCGAGAGCCAGAAGGAGAAGAAATTGAAGGCGGAACAGACCGAACGCGAACGCTGCCTCAACATGGACCTCAAGGACCTAGCCCAGGAGAAGATCACAGTCGGGAAGTACAAGGGCCGAACAGTGCAAGAAGCGAGTCAGGACCCCAGCTACGTGAAGTGGTTGCTGGAGCATCAGGAGGACAACACGAACTTCATCAAGCTCATCGTCTACAACGAGAAGACCCTGTGCAGCGTCAAGGTGATCACGAAGAGTTCTGGAAGCGAGCCGACCAGATCCGAGATGAGCACAGAGCCCGAAGAGACGAACGAGTGGCTGAAGATCGTCGACGAGGTCAATCCCAGAGCCATGGCCCAGATGATCGCGATGCTCAACGGGACAGTGGAACATCTCAAGGGCCGAATCTCCCAGCTGGAAGAGACCGTCATTCAGCAGCAGCAGGCACTATACCAGATTATGTCCCAAGCGCAGGTGACGGACGAAAAGGCCGAAGCCGCGAACCAGCGCCTGACCGTCATGGAAGCATGGATGGCCGAGAAGAAGTGAGCCGAGGACGAAGTCGCTCACCATTTCCATCGAGCCAAAGTGGTCAGGTTTTTGCGTGTAAACCTTGCTGTCCGCTCGAATCCATCGCTGAGGATGAGATAGAAAATTGCTGCGCTGAAGAAGAAGTAGGCAGTTTGCGTGTTCTAAGCAAAGGCCTTGAAACAGGGTGTGATGACGGACAGTCAGGTCTTGAGAACCTGAAGTTTGGATGCTTTGAGTGGCAACGAGCCTCCGCTGAACCCCTGTGGGAAAGCCTCCAGGAGAAGAAGCCTAGACGTATCACGTATGCTAAGGAACAACCTGGTGAAGGCCGGGACCTTGAAGTTCACTTTAGCACTGCCCTCAATAGCTCTCACGAAGTCATCGAGATTGCCTTGGATCTTCAACCTCGTGATGTTCATAAGATCAACCATCGAGGCAGTCCTGTTTGGGTTTTGAATGACAAGCCCAAGCGTCGCGCGGAAGTTCAGTTTAGGCATCTTGAGGATAGTGACAAACTTGACTTTATGAAGGCCATGCAAGGTGAATTGAGCTCGTATTTAGAACATGAAGCTGTTGCCATTGCAAAGAGACACAATGTTCCGGCAGCTAGAGTCATGGGCATGCGCTGGGTCCTGTCGTGGAAGGCTGTCACTAACGAACAGGGTGAGGTTACCGGACAGAAGCCGAAGGCTAGGTTGATCATCAAGGGTTATCAGGATCCTGATCTTCTTCATCTGAAACGTGACTCTCCGACTCTTGCTACCCAAAGCAGGAACATGATCTTGGCTTTAGCGGCTGCGAACAGATGGGATGCTTATTTAGGCGATATCAAGACGGCGTTCTTAAACGGCGACAAAACCGAGGCCCAGAGAGAAGTGTTTGCGGAACCTCCTGAAGAAGTCCGTAGAATGTTAAACATGCGTCCAAACGAACTGTTTAGGATTCTCAAAGCCGTGTACGGACTTCTCCATGCACCCAGGGCTTGGGCTGACAAGCTTGCCAAGGAACTTCAGAAGCAAGGATGGACGCAGTCTCGACTGGAACCGTGTGTATGGCGTCTCTACAACACTGACAGCGGTCTGATAGGGATTCACGTAGATGACATCCTTTGTTGTGGTTCTGGAGAGAGGTTCCGGGAACGAGTTCAAGTGTTGAGAGAGAGTTTTCCCTTTGGGTCATGGAAGTCATTGCAAGAGCCTAGTATGTTCTGTGGGTGTGAAATTCGCCAGAAGGAGGACGGATCAATTGAGCTGAACCAAGAAAGGTATGCTGAAGGGATCAATGAGATTCCCCTAAGTAAAGTCCGGAAGGAACAGCCCGAATTGGAGGTAACCGAAGATGAACGCAAACAGTTTCGAGCAGCTCTGGGAGCACTCTCCTGGAGAGCCACGCAATCGGCTCCATGGCTAGCCGCCAGCGTATCCTATCTGCAAGGATGTCACAAAGCCGCCAAGGTGGGAGATCTCATTCAAGCCAACAAGCTGATCCGAATGCAACGGATTTATAGTCAACAAACACTGTATTTTCCGTCCGAGATTTCCGAACCGGTTTTGCTTACGTATCATGATGCTTCGTACGCTTGTCGTCGTGATGGATCATCCCAGGGTGGCGTCTTCACTATGCTGGTTGACAAGTGTGTTCTTGCAGGGAAGGTAGGTAAGTACTCTCCTCTAGGCTGGCAGTCCCGAAAGCTCCCCAGAATCTGTAGGAGTTCTACTGCGGCTGAAATTCAAACAGGTAGCCATGCCATGGATACTCATGAGTTCACCAAACAACTTCTCCTAGAGTGGTACAATCAGCAGGTGATTGACTATAAAGACATGGACAAGGCACTCCGTCGTTTCCAGTCCGTCGTGGTTACTGACAGTAAAAACCTGTATGATTCTGTGCATAGGATTGAAACCAGTGGTCTTCAACTGGAAGAACGACGATTAGCCCTGGAGGTTTTGTCCATACGCGAGCGCATCAAGTCTGCTGGGATGCATTTCAAATGGGTCGATTCAGATCAACAGCTTGCTGATAACCTGTCCAAGCCTTTCTCTTTTCAGACTCTCCTTACTGCCATTCATAAAGGGGAACTTTGTTTACAGTTTGATTCGCAGTTTGTGTCTGCGAAGAAGAAGCGGGCCTGGAAGAACAAGACGAGATCTAAAGTAGACTCCGACTCTGACGTCACATCAGTAAAGAGATTTTGATCGGTGTTGATTTGATGACCAGCTCTGATGTGACTCGTATATCTTTGCAAGTGCTGCAGAGTGAACACTCTCGCAGCCGACTGGGCGCAAGCCCCCGCGCAGCTTCTTCTGCGTCGACAAAAGGTGCCATAGCAGCTGAGCCTTGAAGTCTGCTCCTCTTCAGCTGGCTTCTGTCAATCGGCTGCTCTCCTTTCATCATTCTCATTATCTTTCGAGTACATCCTCGAATCTCATTATCTTTCGAGTACATCCTCGGATCCTTAGCCCTCACAGGCTACCAGTGACTGAACCGCAAGCCAGTGCTAATTCAGCAAGGGTTTAGGGTTTAGGGTTCAGCACTCCGGGTCGAGCAGCTTTATGGTCAAGCTATATTTACGGCTCTGCTATCACACCCACCCACCCAGAGAATCCCATAACATTGAGAAAGCAAGAAGCGGCCAAATTCGGAAAATGAAGCGGCCAAATTCGGAAATTCAATTAAGGTTTAAATAAATATATAAATACTTAAATAAATATATGGCAGAGAGGGTTTAGGGTTTAGGGTTTAGGGGTTGTTGTTTTGCAAGGCTGCGCCTAAACCCTAAACCCTAAGCCCTAAGCCCTAAACCCTAAACCCTAAACCCTAAACCCTAAACCCTAAACCCTAAACCCTAAACACTAAACCCTAAACCCTCAACCGTTTAGGCTTTAGGTCTCAGGGGGACGGCAAGACAAGCTCAGGACGAGATGGGGCGCGGCTGCCTCCACGCGGACTTCGCAAACATGCCCCGGGGCTCAAGCGACTCCATTCATAGGGTTTAGGGTTTAGGGTTTAGGGTTTAGGGTTTAGGCTTTAGGGGTTAGGGTTTAGGGTTTAGGGTTTAGGTTTAGGGTTTAGGGTAGGTACATGGTCCCTGAACATGGCCCCTCACCTCCGTTAAGCAAGGTTCTGAAATATGGGTTCTTGGGTCTAACAGGGCATATAAGGGGTAAATAAGGCGTCCCTATTTAAGGGCCCATGCTAAGGGGACCATAGGGTTTAGGGTTTAGGGTTTAGGGTTTAGGGTTTAGGGTTTAGGGTTTAGGGTTTAGGGTTTAGGGTTTAGGGTTTAGGAGTAGCTACCCTCAGAGGGCTGAGATTCAGGGTTGCGGGGTTTGAGGGTTTGAGCGGTTGAGCGTTGGAGGCTTGGAGGGTTGGAGGGGTGGGTTTGAGGCTTTGTAACCCTAAACCCTAAACCCTAAACCCTAAACCCTAAACCCTAAACCCTAAACCCCAAACCCCAAACCCTAAACCAAGTTCATATAATAGGAGTTTCAGCGTTTTTGGGCTTTATGCTAGGCCTTCGAACCCGAAGGCCTAATCCCCAAACCCTAAACCCTAAACCCTAAATCCTAAACCCTAAGCCCTAAACCCTAAACCCTAAACCCTACACCCTAAACCCTAAACCCCAATCCCTAAACCCTAAAGCCTAAAGCCTAGGTACCTCGGCGGCGGTGTGCTGGTGGGTGGCTGCGTGCAGGAGGCGTGGTTTTCTTGAGGGTGTAAGGACACCCTAAGCCCCGAACTCTACACCCTAAACCCTAAACCCTAAACCCTAAACCCTAAATCCTAAACCCTAAACCCTAAACCCTAAACCCTATAGACCCTGAGCACCCTTACAGCCCTCAACCCTCAAACCCTAAACCCTAGGAGACCCTAGAGTTGAGATCAGAGCGCAAAACCGCGACTCCGTGCCCAACTTGTAGGGCCACCTAAAACCCAAACCCGCAATCCTTCGGGGGGTTTTGGGGTGTTTAGGGTTTAGGGTTTAGCGTTTAGGGTTTAGGGTTCAGGGTTCAGGGTTCAGGGTTTAGGGTTTAGGGTTTAGGGTTTAGGGTTTAGGGTTTAGGGTTTAGGGGTTAGGGTTTGTCGGGGGAAAACCCTTGTTCTTCTCATCAAGGAGATCCGCTTCTCCATCTGCCCTGAACTTTGTGCTGCCATGCTGGTGTGCCCCTTCATGCTGGACCACGAGGCGCTTTTGTCCTGCATTTTGGCATTTCTTTTCATATTTTTAACTTTCCTAGGGTTTTTGGGAATTTCGTTTTTTTGCTCCAGGGTTTTTGGGGTTTCGTGTTTTTTTGGGGAGGGGGGGGAGGGGTGTTGGGGGATTTCGGTGTTTAGGGGTTTTGGGGATTTAGGGTTTTGGGGATTTGGGGGTTTAGGGTTTGGGGTCTTGGGGGTTTAGGGTCTTGGGGTTTACGGTTTAGGGTTTAGGGTTTTTTGGGGGAGGTTTTGGGGGGATTGAGGGGTTTACCACCTCTTGAGTATCATTGGTTTAGGGGGTTTTAGGGTTGAAGGTTTAGGGTATTGGGGGTTTGCGGCTTGGTGGAGTTCAGGGTTTGGTGTTTAGGGTTGGTACTTGGTGACCCCGTGAAGGCCCTGAATCTTAAACTTTAAACCTACATGAGCCCCTGACTCAGTTACTATGGATTCATGGGAGAACAGCGAAAGCCCCTGCATCTTTTCACCCTAAACGCTAAACCCTAAACCCTAAACCTCAAACCCTAAACCCTAAACCCTAAACCTCAAACCCTAAACCCTAAACCCTAAACCCCAAACCGCAATGTCCTCAAGGGGTAGTTGGGCCCACCTGGACCTCACATTTACATAGACTGGGTCTCGGCTGGAACTTTGGGGCCAGGCCATCTTCATTGTGGGTGGCGCACCTGGGCAAAGCACTTTTTGGGGCGAGGGTTTATTGTTATAGGCTTAAGTTTTGCGGCGAGGGTTCTTAAGTTTTCAGGGCCTTGCAGGAGTTTCTAAGCTCTGACCCCGAAAAGACCCAGGCGTCGGAGGGTCTTTTGGCTTCCGGAAGTGAGCTTCTGTGTTTCGGTCTCCGTCCTTTTTTTGGGATTTGGGGTGCTGAGTGGGTCCATGAATAGATGCGCATGAAGCCCTCTAACAATGCGACCCTAAAACGACACCAGCCCTTCAACCCTCGAAACCCCTTAGAGCCCTAAACTCCTTGTACAACCCCAAATCAAAAACACCAAAACCACTGAACGCCCCAAAGCCCAAAACCTTAAACCATAAAACCCTAAACCCTAAACCCTAAACCCTAAACCCGAAACCCGAAACCCGAAACCCGAAACACGAAACCCGAAACACCTCAAGAACCTTGGCGATCCCCGAAACCCTGCAGCCTTCAGTGCCCCAGTGTGAGCTCCCCTCGAACCTTATAGGCCGGAGAAACCCGAAACCCGAAACCCGAAACCCGAAACCCGAAACCCGAAACCCGAAACCCGAAACCCGAAACCCGAAACCCCTAAACCCCTAAACCCTAAACCCTAAACCCTAAACCCCAAACCCCAAACACCCCCCATTAGGAGCAGTTCTCCGCTTACTCCGGCTACGGGCGCTCGCTGCAGTACGCGGGGGACTTCCGCGACCCCACGCCCAAAGACGAGGAGTGGCTTAGGGGTTTGGGGGTTTAGGGTTTGGGGTTTAGGGCTTAGGGTTTGGGGTTTAGGGTTGAGGGTTTCGGGGTCGCCAAACCCTAGACCATGAGCCGCGAACCCGAAACCCTGAACTCTCTAAACCCTAAACCCTAAGCCCTCAACCCTCAACCCTAAACCCTAAACCCTAAACCCCTAAACCCTAAACCCTAAACCCTAAACCATAGCTTTGGAGCCTTAAGCTTACAAGTTCCACGGTTTTAGTTCAACATCGTGAGCCTTAGCCCCCGAGCCCTGACTTGGCGTTTGGGTTTAGGGTTTAGGGTTTAGGGTTTAGGGTTTAGGGTTTAGGGTTTAGGGTTTAGGGCTTAGGGTTTAGGGTTTAGGGCAAGGGTTTGGGGCTTAGGAACAAAGCCCTGCGGGAGGATGGCACGGTGATGGTGGCGATCACTGCCATGGATGCCCTGGACTTCCGCGGTCAGGCGTCATTACGGATCGGGTTTAGGGTTTAGGGTTGAAATATTTCAGGGCACTGAAATTTCAGTTTAAACCTTCAACCCTCAGCCTCAACCCCCCCCCCCCCCCCAAAAAAAAAAAAAGAACTCTCCCTGAACTCTATAAACTCCCTAAACCCCGTGTGAACCCTTGTAGCCTTAAAACCCTATAAACACTATCAATCTGCGGCCCTGGGTTAAGATGATGGTGCCTTACCTTCTTTACAGGATTCTGATGTATGGCCCAAAAGCCCTGAAAGCTAAACCCCCTACCCCTAAACCCTAAACCCCCTCCAAGCCCCCAAAATTCCTGAACCCCTTCCTAAGGAAGAAAGACCCTTCAGAGGAACCCCCCCCCCCCTCCCCTAAGCACACTGGACTCTCGAACGCTGAAGCCCTCAAACCCTCCGAGCCTCAAGCCCTAAGCCCTTAACCCTACACCCTAAACCCGAAACCCTAAACCCTAAACCACTCTTTCATATCTTATATAAATGTTAATGACTTTGCGCGCAAGGTCATATATTTAGCGGGCAAGGTCATATATTTAGTGGGCAAGGTCATATAATTAGCGGGCAAGGTCATATATTTAGCGGGCAAGGTCATATATTTAGTGGGCAAGGTCCATTGGCTAAAAAATGACCTTGCCCACTACATATATGACCTTGCCCGCTAAAGGGCGACCTTGCCCACTAAATATATGACCTTGCCCGCTAAATATAAAACCTTGCCCGCTAAATATATTGCCCGGGCCAGGTCATATATTTAGCGGGCAAGGTCATATATTTAGCGGGCAAGGTCATATATTTAGTGGGCCCCCACCCCCCCCCCCCCCCCCCCACCCCCCCCCCCCAACCCACCCCCCCCCCACCCACCCCCCCACCCCCCCCCACGCCCCCCCCACCCCCCCTCGACCAGAAGGGCAGCATGAGCATCACCAACGAATCCTCCGTGCAAAAGGCCGTGGACCAGTCCAGCCGCCACGTGGATTTCTCCTTGGATGAGGCGAGACTTTTGAAGAAACTTGGCTCGTTTTGCGATGCCGGGAAAAACTGTGATGTCGTGGACCGCCGTGCGGCAATGGCCAAACAGAATCGTATCCTCCGATGGCTTACGCAACCCCAGGATCCTGCAAATTTGAGTTCCCGCTTACAGTAGCTTCATGCATATTCCAACAGCGGGACATGTCTGCCGCAGATCCGCACTGGAACGATGATGACACAGCAGGCCAGCCTTGTCTCTTGTTTTTCAAGGGGAGCGGGTGAGGAGGCATGCTTGTTTTTTAACGCTTGGTGAGCATGAAGCGCTTAGGCAGCGGAGGCCGTGTATGTCACGGGAGCGACAACGGATATTGATGTGGCTCTGGAGGAGGCCCCATTCCGTTGCAGTGTTAGATTGCTTGATCCTCCAGGAAGGACTTCAGGCCTTCTCAACATGTTTATTGTAGTCAACGTCTTTGCGTTCTATACCGAATCTCGTCGAGCAGGAGAAACTTCTTCCTGGTGAGGTGACGCTGCACATCGTCGAGGTGCGGAGTTGTGCATCGCGGTTTGAACCTCAGCTTCTCGGCAGGTGCCGACCATCCAGGAGATCATCACGCAGCAGGCCGGGGACGAGTGGGATGATTCTGGGCAGTCCACTCAGCCTGCGTTCATCGCTCGCGCGGATCGTTCCCCCATTTCCAGGCCCTGGTCGATCCGACGCTTACGATGTCTGCAGCAACGAGCACACAGCCGCTTGCTTGGTCCACTTGTGACACTTGTGGCTGAGATGCTGGTGCGATGCATCCCCAGCAACCTCGTGGGCACATGGCAGTTCACTTTGTGGAAATTCTAAGGTTGAGCATCAGTACCCTGGACTCTGTGCCTACACACGCTCGGCTGCGGAACTCAGCACTGTGATCCTGATTTTTGACAAATCCAGCGTACATGCTGCTGGATCAAGTTTCGTGGTTGCTTGCACCTCGTTTAGATTCAACCCGGGTTTTGAGGGATCCAATCCGGAGCCTGAAGGGCGGGCACACGATCCAGGGCCAGATGCGCACGTGAGCCAGGCAAACGATCGGGGCTCCAAGCGAACATGGACCGCGCACGAACATTCAGATGGCCTCACCCTTGGATTGCTTTGGCTTGTCGACGGGTCTCCGAACATGCTACGACAATGACATGTCTGCCACAGATCCGCCCTGGAACGATGATGACACAGGAGGCCAGCCTTGTTTTCAAAGGGAGCAGGTGAGGAGGCATGCCTAGATCTTAACTCTTCTCGAAAATCACGTGCTTAGGAAGAGGAGGCCGTGTATGTCACGGGAGCGACAACGGATATTGATGTGGCTCCGGAGGAGGCCCCATTCCGTTGCAGTGTTAGAGTGCTTGATCCTTCAGGAAGGAATTCAGGCCTTCTCAACATGTTTATTGTAGTCAACGTCTTTGCGTTCTATACCGAATCTCGTCGACCAGGAGAAACTTCTTCCTGGTGAGGTGACGCTGCACATTGTCCAGGTGCGGAGTTGTGCGTCACGGTTTGAACCTCAGCTTCTCGGCAGGTGCCGACCATCCAGGAGATCATCACGCAGCAGGCCGGGGACAAGTGGGATGATTCTGGGCAGTCCACTCAGCTCAGATGCTGGTGCGATGCAACCCCAGCAACCTCGTGGGCACATGGCAGTTCACTTTGTGGAAATTCTAAGGTTGAACATCAGTACCCTGGACTCTGTGCCTACACACGCTCGGCTGCTGAACTCAGCACTGTGATCCTGATTTTTGACAAATGCAGCGTATACGCTGCTGGATCAAGTTTCGTGGTTGCTTGCACCTCGTTTAGATTCAACCCGGGTCCTGAGGGATCCAATCCGGAGCCTGAAGGGCGGGTGCACGATCCAGGGCCAGATGCGCGCGTGAGCTGACTTACGATTTGATCTGCTTAGCTAGGACTGACGATGCTTTGCATGGTGTCTGCCAGGCAAAAGATCGAGGCTCCAAGCGAACGTGGACCTCACGCGAACGTTCAGACTGCTTCACCCTTGGATTGCTTGGGCCTGCTTTGTATGAAAGCAGATCAGTTCTCGCGCGGTGGATTGCAGGCAGCGCGTGCTCCCTGCGAAACAAAGCGTGAGGTGCCGGCGATGATCTAGGAAATTGTGTTGGTGCGTTATACTCTTACTGGATGTTGCTCATGTCTTGCGCCAAGTTTTACCACGTACACGTACCAGGCCAAGAAACAGTACAAACGTCAAGTTGCTTAAGCCTCGGGCACACCGCAAGAATTCGTTTGAACAAGTCAATGTTGTGCTCTTTATTCTCTTCCTGTTGTTATTGCTTGAAGAGGTCGCGCTCAAGCGCCGTGGATGTTGGTCAAGTGGCTTGCCCAGCTGCAGGCATACTATGTGTGTGGGGAGCATGTGGAGGGCATGAGATGGGGGCCTGTCTGCGTGCGCATGGTTTTCTTCTTGCCATTCCGAGAAGCGGGGCTGGGCTGTAGGATCTTGAAGTTGCGACTGTAGAGTTAATTGGAGGTTGGCGGTGAGGTTGTCCTCACTGGGGGTCGGTGTTGCGGTTGCGTGAGCTCAGTGCGTGATACGTCCATAGTTGGCTATGTTGGCGGTTGATGTGGAGGCTGCCCTCGCTGGTGGTGTTTCTCATCAGTTTGTGTGAGCTCATTCTTGCGTCAGCTCAGTGGGCGAAAGATTCTGGAGTGGAGTTGGGCAGCAGTTGGCGGTGAGGTTGCCCTCGCCGGGGGTTTGTCTTCTAATGTGCGGAGTTGGTCAGCGGGTGAAGTGCGGGATTTGGGCAGACAGAGGGAAAGTGTCCAAAAATTGCAGGAAATTGTTGTTCTAGTTTCGTATTATTAGTATGAGCTGCGAGACGCGGGAGCTTTTCTCCCATTGTTGCACGGTCCTAAGGTTTGTCGAGCATCCCTCTCTCGCCACGCGTGAGATGAGCAGGTGTTTCTGGCTCACTCTTGGCCATATTCCTGGTCGTAATAAATCGTATTCCCGAAATAGGTGGCTCTATCTAACCTTTTTGATTATAGTTATTATATATCATATTCTCAGGAATTATTTATTATATATCATATTCTCAGGAATTGCTCGCTCTTTCTAGTTCTTTCTTGATTTCATTCCCAGATCTCCATGGCTCTTGCTAGTCGACTTTTTGCCAAAATTATTCACACTCTGGGGCTAGGCAGCTCTACCATGGCTGCTTGCATCCAGCGAGTGTGTGTGTGTGTGTGTGTGTGTGAAGTTGGGGTGAGGCGATAGCGTCAGAGCGATCGAACCTGCTGGCGAAGCCATTCGAAGCCGTTTCACCTATGATTCCTTCGTGCTGTTGTCAAGGCGGAAAAATCGGTTCTTGAAGTTGTCGCGCGCAATCAGCGCAAAGCAGCCAGTTTGCATCGTGCGATATTTTGGCTCGTTGGCCGCCTGGCTTTGGGCAAAGTCTACAGGCTAGAACACCATAAGTTCAGTTCAGGCGAGGTCTTTCGAAGAAGCGTGTGGTTCACGTCATGTCCTGTTGGCAGGGGCCGTCATGTATGTGAGGGTGCGATGCGGGATGCAGCTTATGCTGGCACGACTTTCATTTCTGCCACGGCAACCGCAACTCTGCGGTCCAAGTCCAAGCCGTTGTATCGACCACATGCATCTTTCGAGTTATGAGGGCTGCAGCGCTTGTCCCATGGCAGCACCTGCTCCCTTCGCAGCGGAATAAGCCGAATAAGCCAGATACTCAGATTGGTGGTTCAACCCTCAGGAGTTTGCGCCGAATCGGGTTTGTTGAGACAAGTCTTGCAACTCGCAGGCCAGGCGCAGTGGGCCGCATGAAGATATCATCTGCTGCAGGATTTGTTCGTTGAATTCATGTCTTCGTTGTGTGCCTAGAGAGCAATCAGGAATGAACTTGACGAGTCTGCTTGCTTTCCGCTTTGGCGCTTCCCTTCCAGCGTCAAGTTCCAAACCTTCAGGGTTTGGGGTTTCGAAAAGCACGATAAACTTACCAGACGCAAGACCACGACCGGTCCTGTCTGTCTTTTGTGCTCGTGTCTCATGTTTCATGAGGCTAGCTGTGTTGGTGATTTTCATGTTCGCGAGTCCTGAAGGCATAGTGGGAACAGCGGAAAGAAAATCTTGCTGCTTACACAAAGGCAGAGGTCAAGGAAAAGGCTCACGGAGACCAGTGCGTAGAGGGGAGGCAAGCCGAGAACATGCAGGCGTCTTCGCGCACCAAGGCCCAGGCTTTTCCTCAAAGGCGGGGCTGCAGACCGCGCGCGATAGTTTGAAGTGCCGGCACAGGCCTTGCAGAGATGTGTGGCAATTGCCATAGCGGATTCCGAGGCGCTCCAGGCCGCACTACTACGCTCCAGACTCGACCCGAGGCGTTGAAGTTTGCGAAATTCAAAAGGTGATGTGGTAAGTGCTCCAAGAAAGGTTGTAACGGCTAGAAAGGTACCATTAACACCCCCAAAGTACCAGACAGGCGTGAACAAGGATAGGATCTCAATGGTCTAGTTTTAACAGGCTTGTTGTGTTCACCTTTCGGGGGCTACCTTTCCAAACCTTTAGAATCAGCTTATCTTTGCGGTTGACTTCTAAGGGGAAAATAGGGTCTCAAGGTGTGATGGGTGCTGCGGTTGGACAATATTATTAATGGGAGCGGTAGTTGTGGGAATGCGCCCGACTTTGAAGCGCGACCACCGGCTTCGTGCCGCTGAAACGCTTGCTCTCGCCCAAGGCTTCTCCGAGCTTACGGTGTCTCAGTGTTTTTGCCTCCAATGCCAAGGCTTGGGGCTCGTCTCCTGGCAGTCTGGATGAAGTGTGAGCAGGCATGGAGAGACTGAGGATTCCATGGGATTCTGTTTACTGTTGAGCTTGATCGTGTACGTCCTTGCTTATAGTGGCGGATCCTTGCATCGCCGCCTGTCAGAGTGGCGTGTTTTCGTTCGACGTGCATGTTGTCGCACAGCCCCGATGTGTCTTGAACATGCCTGGTATTGTCCCCGCAAGCCTTGGAGAAGCCAGCCCGTTCCACAAGGCGAGCAAGGAAGGATGGTCATGGCATACAAACTCATTGCACTCCTATCACCCGGTGAGCTTTCGTGACAGTGATCAAGATCATGGCCCTGCTTGCTTGGAAACGAACAGTTGACGGAACAAAAAGCGGAGTTGACAATTGCAGCCCCGCCGACACGTTGCTTGGATTATATCGCGCATATTTGTCAGCAGCTCCGCACGCAGACTGCGGGAAAGGGCAGCATGCTGTTGTGGAATTCTTATGCGGGCTTGTGAGATTAGAGGTTGCGAAGAACCGTGCAGAGACAGTTCATGGTCTCGGGGAGTTTTTGCCGGTGGATTGGGCCCAGGGTCCGATTCCGTTGTGAAAGTTTTCGACATTTTGAGCACCCCCCCCCACCCCCGGCACCCACCCCCCCCCCCCGCCCCACCCCCCCCCGCCCAACCCCCCGCCCCACCCCCCCCCCAACCCCCCCCCCACCCCCCCCCAAAAACCCCCCCCCCCCACCCCCCCCCAAACTCCCCCCACCCCCAACCCCCTCCACCAAACCCCCGCCCCTCCCCCCTCCCCCCTCCCCGACAAGAAGTGGAAAGGGTGGGTGGGAAGCACGCTGTCAAGATGGCTTCCAAAGAATAAGTTTCTGAATGACCGCGCCTGTTTTTGAGGCCCCTGAAGCCCCTCAAAAGAGTCAAGAGACTCAAGATGGCTTCCAAAGAATAAGTTCCCGAATGACCGCGCCTGTTTTTGAGGCCCCTGAAGCCCCTCAATCGATTCAAGAAACTCAAGATGGCTTCCAAATGTGATAAACAGATCCATTCTGTTGACCAC